TTTAGATGGTTTCAGCTCATGTAATTATTTATTCTTCGTATTTGATCATTTAATAAATTACATTTATCCCAGAGCAGCTGTGTATGGTCCTAAATATAAACAAGTTTAGCACATCAAGAACCTTGTTTTTTTTCATAAAATTGTGAATGAAATTAGTGCATCTTTATGATAACTCAAAATAACATTTAAAACTCATTCACCTAGAGAACATGGCAAGTTGTTTTTTATATATTTAATTTTTTTATGACGGGGGTGTTAAACAGTGAATCATCTTTGCTTTGATATGGGGCAAACAAAGGTTCTGTTAGAGTTAATGTGGTTCAATTAGAAGAACTCAAACAGTGAATGTCACAGAAAGACTCAGCCTGCGCGCAGTGACGGGCTCCCATCACAGCAGTCTCTCATCAGGAGGAGAGAGTTTAATCACTCACACAGAGTTGGACAGATCTGTTGGATAACAACATTCTGAACATATATTTAATATAAAGTTAGGTTTTAAAGACCAAAGTCTCTGGTAGTTCATGTGTAAAGTGCAGGAGGAGATGTCAGGACTCATCACTGCAGCCGCGCTGCTCCAGTCGAGCCGCTGCTTCAACCAAACCTGCTCTCAATGAAAGTCCCGCCCTTCTCTTCTCTGATTGGACAAAACGGCTCTGGACTTCCTCTGATTTGTTGAAGGCAGTGTCCATTTAATTCTTATATCAGGGTCCCGATTATAGGCTTTGTGAGCACAGAACGATCCATTCACACCAGTGTGGCTGGATTTTTTTAATTTTTAATATTTGAAGAAATCAGGTCGCATTTTTGACCAAACTGGTCGCACTCTAGAGCCCTGATAGCTGTTGTTTTGACAGACAATCAGGTCCAATCTTAGGTACGCAAGTGAGCTTAATGACGTTCCATCTGGCGCGCTTTTTCTTTTTTGACTGCACCTGCACATCGCTTATGTGCAACTCTGTATATGATGCAACCTGAGCTCTTTCAGAAAAGCACATTTAAAACGGTTGTGTTTGACAAGATTTAAACTTTAAGAATATTTTAAAACTAAAGTTTTTTTTTTATTCAGGATTAAAACCTTTTAACTTTATTTGTAACTTTAAAAGCTTCTCTGCACTTTGATCTCTTCACAACTGAATCATCATTTTTTTCTTGGTGTCAGTAAAGTATTTGAGACTGTTTGAATGTTTCAGTTTTTGTCTACAGTAAGTGGATGATATGTGTGAAAGGAGGCGTGGTTCCTGAGCTCTGACTGTCAGGAAGTTTGAGCAGAAAGCCTTCAGAGGGCAGGACCTGAGTCCTGCTCTGATAAAGAGACCAGCAGAGACCACGCTTCACATCACATGCAGAGGGAACATGGATCACAC